TGGGGTTTTTTTTTCATTTCTTCCATATTGTTATTTTTTAAATTGTTTTTTGACCATTTTGATTTTGAATTTTTTCATTTTTTTTTAATTCTCCCTCTCTGTTTTTCTCCTTTTCCCCCTAGAGTAGAGAACAGAGGGAGGAAAAAAAGGCAGAGAATGTGATGAAATGAATTAAAAAATGACTTTTTTTTGCATTTTCCAGTTTAATTAGAAAAAATTAGGACAGTTTTTTTGGGGGGAAGCAAAACTTGTTAGTGAAAATTTCCAATTTTGCATAAGACCATTTTTCTACAACAGCAACAAAATAACATTTCAGCTAGAGCCAGAGAGCAGTCCTGACAGGGAGGCAGATCTCTGATGAGGCTGTGAAATAATCTCCCAAGGGAAGGTGTGAAACCTCATTGCTTGGGGCATTTGGAGGTAGAATGGACAATGGAACAAGGCCCCATTAGGTCCTTCTCTCTATGCCCTCGATGGAGGTGGTCTGAGATAACACAGACCTCAATACACCATGTCTCTGTTTTCTACAGTTTGCAAACATTATGGTGCCTTTCCCACCTAGACACTCTGTCCCTTTGCTCCTACCCCTTGTATCATGGGGGAAACCCTGCCACATGAGAAAGGGGGCTGGAAAGGAAGGGATAGGTGCAGCTTCCCAGGGAAGGTATTCCTGTCACATCTAAAGCCAGGAGTTAGAGTTCAGAGTCACATCCACCCTCAGCAGCATGGGCCGTACCCAGGGAATCCTCCTCCCGAAGACTCCATTGCAGCCCCTCAGCTGCGGAAGGGTTGCTCCCTGCTCACCTGCCTGATATCCCCTGGGTGAATCTGACACTGACCCCACACGCCGTTCAACTCCCGGTTCCTTCTCAGGGCCTCCACGGCATGGGGGTTCCACTCAGAGGCATGGACAAAGGCAGCACAGGCATGAACCAGGTATGGCAATGTGAAATAGCCAATCCCTTAGGACAGAGGATGATGGCACAGTCCCACGGCAGCCCCGGCTGGCTGTTTCCTGCAGCTCTCAGTATGGGATCATAGCTCTCCTTGATGAAATGAACTGACTGGAGACCTATAAGCCATGTCATGGTCCGCATGAAGGCCCCACCCTGGAATAAGGGGGGGAAGTTCCACTGAGACATGCTGATGGCAGCTGCACAGGGGCCCCTACTGGAAAGATGCTGCCAGTGGATGGCATTACTGGATGGAGAGTGAGGACCAAAGTTTGAACACTGAGAATGAGCTGGACTCTTTGTGACTAATTCTAACAGCATCAAAGGGTATGGTATGGCTGGCTGGAGCCAGGCTGATCCAGGTAAGGACCTGCAGGGAGTAGCAGTGAATTGAGGCTGCTGGAGGGGGATTCAAGGCAGGATCTAGGTTGGCCAGGAGGAGTGGGGGCAAGGCAGTAGCATTGTATGGCCCAAGAGACTGGGAAGCAGCAATGCTTTGGGTCAGAGAAGGGGCTTATCTGGGGCAGTTGTTCCCAATCTATGTAAATCACATAGCTGATTAAATTACCACAGAGGTTCCCTGTAGTTCTGAGCTTCCTGCCCCTCTTCTGGTAGCATGAGGATGAAGGGACTCTCCTGAGGGATAAACAGTCACTGTATCCTAAGGGGAAATGATTGTGACTCACATGCTCTGCTCCCAGAGACCCAGCAAACTCATCACAACAGACAGGCCTGAGTTTTATTCCCAAAGCTCTGAAGAGGGAGACAGGGATGGGCTGGGGGACTCTACAAGGAGGGCATAATTTTCCCCCTTTTGGAGCAGGGGGTTTCATTTGCTTGTTTAATGCTGTTGGAATTTAGCCCTTTTAACTCTGGGTGTTTTTCCAGCCAGCTGCGGGGGAAGCAACTAGCAAGCCCTGTGCAGATCAAATGGAATCTTACTGTTCCTTGCAATCCTATCTTCCACTGAACCGGAGTGAAATGCTTTGCTCCATCAGTGCCCCTGGGGCCCCTGCCCTGGAACCCCTCAATAGTCAGGGGCTGTTAGGGAGGAGCAGAACTCACTGATCTCAGGCAGCCCTGTTATTGCCAAGCTCAGTCAGAAAGCTGCCGACAGTCCCAGCACGTGCTCCCCAGTGTAACAGGATCATAGGTGTGCTGTGGGGACAGAAAATTACTGCCCCCCTCGCATTCCTCAGCGTGGGTCCTTCCCAATCCCCCAGGGAGTGGAAATGGAGTTAAGGAAGCGCCTACCCTGGCTCCCGGACAGAATACGAAACATGCACCAATGTTTTCACCAAAACAAATAGGGAACCAGCAGCACTAAAAATCATTAAGAACAGCCATACTGGGTCAGACCAAAGGTCCATCTACCCCAGTATCCTGTCTTCCAACAGTGGCCGATGCCAGGTGCCCCAGAGGGAATGAACAGATCAGGTAATTGTCAACTGATCCATCCCCTGTTGTCCATTCCCTGCTTCTGGCAAACAGAGGCTGGGGACATCCCTGCCCATCCTGGCTAATAGCCATTGATTGGCCTATCTTCCATCAATTTATCTAATTTAAACAAGCCCTGCCACCCTTCTAACAGAGGGATGAGAAGCTGTCCAGCCTCCCTGTAATTCCTGTACAGTACATGTCTTCGTGTACATGCCAACATTGCCTCCTGGTGGTCAAAGTCCAGAGAAACAAGGGTCAATAACCAGTATCCCTCCACCAGTTTTGGTTCACTGATGTAGCATGTGACCCACTCCGCTGGATAGTGACCCACTCATCTGAGATCAGATCTTCCCAACCTTTTCAGGCAACTCAGCTAGTTTATTGGACCTCAGCTATTCCAGCCAATGCCTGCTATCTCCCATCGGATTATGCACATTCTAAATTCTCATGGGCCTTGGAACTGCTCCAAACCCTCTCCCAATCCCTGCTCCCACCAGCATGGTAGCCTCATACTGGAACACGGGACTGTTCTTCTCAATGCTAGCAACATAAGGCAAGACCTGGAGAAGAGGCGGATGCTGCCTCCTTGAATCTCTGACCCAGTTCCAGCATCTGGTCTCTGCTACTTTCTGTGCACTTGGATTAATATTTTCTTGTACTGCAGAACTCAACACTTTGGGTAGAGAACGTCATCATTGGCTTCCTGACCTACCTGGGTGTCCTTGGTTCCTGCTGCTGAAAAGCATCAATTAGTTTCTCTTCCCAGCCCCCTGCTGCCCAGCTGTGGACGGAGAAGAAGTCGTCTTCGGGTGCAGAGGTCAGGGTGAAAGGATGCCACTCCAAGTGGGAGGCAGAGAGACAATTGATGAAAATATACTGGCCCACTTCCATGCTGAACTCTTCTTGTGCACCTGTAGTTCTAATGCTTTTGATGAATGTATGACAGCTTGTGGGAAAGGCATATCAGCCAATCATGTGCATGTCCCACCCAGCTGCCACTACAGCTACACCACTGCTTACAGTGGCTGGAGTAGCTGAGTGCCCTCTGCCCCCAGCAGTGCTCCTCCCCCATTGCCTACAGTGACTTCTGCTGGGATTGGAGTGGGGCCACCCAGCCCTGTTTGGTTAGCACCACCCTGCTGCACCTGTACAGGGTGTTGGACTTCAGAGGAAGAAAGCCCAGCAGCAGGTGGGAGCTGGTTGGTGAAGAGAGCTGGCAAGCTGCTCAGAGATGGGGTAAGAAGCCTGGCTTGGCCTAGAGCAGGGATCGGCAACCTTTGGCACATGGCCCATCAGGGAAAGCCACTGGTGGGCCAAGACAGTTTGTTTACCTGCAGCGTCCGCAGGTTCAACCGATCGCAGCTCCCACTGGCCGCGGTTTGCCGTTCCAGGCCAATGGGGGCTGCGGGAAGTGGCAGCCAGCATATCCCTCGGCCAGCGCCGCTTCCCGCAGTTCCCATTGGCCTGGAACGGCAAACCATGGCCACTGGGAGCTGCAATTAGCTGAACCTGCAGACGCTGCAGGTAAACAAACTGTCCCGGCCCGCTGGCAGAATATCCCTGATGGGCCACATGCCAAAGTTTGCCGATCCCTGGTCTAGAGAATGTGGAAAGGCTCTAACCTGTCAGAGGTAGGAGGGCGGGCTTGGCCTAAGTTGTTGGGTTGATTGGTGGCTAGGCAGTAAAACAGGCTGCTGCTGGGGCTTGCCTGCAAGGAAGGGGGCTGAAGGCTGAGCTCAGTGGAGCTACAGATTCTCTAGTTTTGGTGCTGGTTTGTACTTGGACTAAGGAGCTTGGTTACCCTGCAAGGAGTAAAAACATAAATATGACCTGGATGGAGAGCCAACTCCCCTCCCCAGTCCATGGGAACCCTGCAGAAGAGGGTGAGGTGGAAAGACTGCAATGCCAGCCAGGGCGGGTACAAGGATGTTTCGCGCCGTAGGCGAAACTTCCACCTTGCGCCCCCCCACCCCGAGCCCTGTGGCAGCTCTCCGCCCCCCCCACCACCCTGAGGCACCCCCCCCGCGGCAGCTCCCCCCGGCCCGAGGAGCCGTGCAGCAGCTCCCCGCCCCAGCTCACCTCTGCTCCGCCTCCTCCCCAAGCATGCCCTCACTGCTCCGCTTCTCCTGCCTCCTAGGCTTGCGGCACCAATCAGCTGTTTGGCACCGCAAACCTGGGAGGGATTGAAGCAGAGCGGGGCAGCATGCTCAGGGTAGGAGGCGGAGCAGAGGTGAGCTGGGGCAGGGAGTGGTTCCCCTGTGTGCTGCCCCCCCCCTTACTTGCTGCAGACGGCACTCCCTGCGCGCCCCTGCCCCACTCCCTCTGCCTATATGCTGACGATGACCGGGGCAGCCGAAGATCCGATCGCCGCCGAAGGACCCTGTGACGTTGTACAGTCTATATGGTTTTATAAAAACTT